CGTAATTTATTATTTAAGCAAGTTCATCGAATCGTCACTACGTAGGTTCGGTGTNTTTTTTTTTTATCGAAGATCAAATTGGGTGGGAAAATAGAGAAGTAGAGAATCGGGACAAGATTAACGGGGGAATTCTCGGAGGATTTACACTTCTAGAGATTATGCGGATCAAATTTGAATGTAAGGAGAATTTATACATGTTATTTATTGCAAAGTGGATGGTAGTGATCTCGAGTTGCAGCTTTATTTAAAAAATAAATCGATGATGCTACGAGAAACGTTGCCGAGTCTTCTTTACAACTACAACTCGGAGAATCGATCTCGCGAAAGATTGACGACGAGGTGTCATAAAACGCGTTCGTAGATACATGCATATATATGTATCTCCACACGATTTGGACAAGATCGTGGTGGATACGCATAATGCATATTTTTTAGGATGTATATTTTTTACAACTTTTAGATAGGGGTACAGGTTAGGTATAGGTTATTCGGGTCACCTCGAAATCCAAATAAGTCTGGAGGGAAACGAGACTAATAAAAAGGAATGCTTTTTCACGACACTTCTGATTACGTGTGTCTCTCGAGTTATTATAAAAATGAAAGTGAAGAAAATGGGGACAGGTATATTTTCTTAGGCAGAGCAGATTCCTAGCTTTAGATTCGCGGACGTGCGCCGGCGTTAATTTATTCGTGATCACGAAAGTGCGAATTCCTGCCGTTTTCGCGACAAAGAACACGTGCATATTACAATGGGATCGTTGGAGGTATCATCTCCCCGGTGAGAAACGTAGAATGAAAGACTTTCCAGAGCAACGACACATTATTGAAAAAGAAGAAATGAAAGTAGCGAGTGACTTAGCTAGCGGTTGAAACACGTATTACGTTTCCTTACTACGTGAAACTTTGAAACTCCTCGTACTGGATTGATGATCTTTCGTCTTGTATATTATGATTATCGCGTTAAAAGAATCACGTGATCCAATATTAATGATCGAAAGCCGATTAACATTTAATTGCAATTATGTGAATGCGCACGGATAGATCCAGCTTGTGAATCTCCTCGTGTGTCGTTTTCTATTAGCGATGGAACGGAAATAGAAAGGTCGATGCACCGGAGAAATTTTATTCCAAGTGTACGAGGCAATTTGTCGGGCGGAATATAAATTAGAACGAAAAGGAAAAAAGGAGAAGGAAAAAAAAGATAATGCGAGAAAGGGTTCAACTACTGTTTACCCGATCTATTCTATTTCTTTCCCTCTTCGTGCTTCATTTTTCTTTTCCCTTTGTTGTATGCTCAAAGGATTCGCGCTTGCGAAATCCCCCTCAGCTTCAGCATTTTTTTCCCCTCTCCTCTCCTTCTCCCTTCCCTCCTTCCTTCCTCTTCCCCTCTCTTTCTCTTTCTCTCTCTTTTTCTCTCTTTCTCTCTCCATTCACTGCGTATAATATTTTCAATGACAATGTCTCTGCCAGAGACCTACTTTTTTGCAACTCGCGCACTTAGAAAGGGAACAACGTTGCATTTGAACACCGCGTTTTTCGCCATGTCGTCGAAATGTGTCATCGTTAATGGAGATGCATCGCCTACAATAACGAGGACAATCTATTTTACACTCGTAAAGGCCGGCTAAACTTTATTTCGGCACGGTTACCATGAAGGAAAAACCGAAATACGTCTCCCGTTATTTCGCGTCAAGTTCTTTATGAACAGAAACGATGGAAACGACCCCGTTCGAGCCAACATTTGTTCAATCCCGCGCGACACGAGAAGAAAATAACCGGCGTTTGATAAAACGATAACGATCTAGATGGGAAACGATGTCGCGCCATCGTGCATTCATCGTCGATTTGTATAAATTGTATCGCTCGTTTGCCATCGTCCCGTACGCGAGCAGAAAGAATTTCGAAGCGGAAAACAATTGAGGATGAAGATCGTTTATTAAATTGCATCCTTGTTTCCTCGACGACGAAGAATCAATTTATTCGATTAATTTTAATATTATTTTGCATTTATGTGTATATCGGAAATTGAAAAAAAACTACGTACGAATTGATAATAAAAACAGAAATATTAATAATCTTTAATATCAATTATATCTTTTTGATAAATTAAACATTGTTGTCAAAATCTTTTGTCTTTCATCCTATTTATCCGCAAGCTTTCTTGCCGTTTATCGAGGGATTTAATTCCATATGCTGTAGACAATACAAGCCATAACTGGAATATGA